GGGGGGGGGGGGGGGGGGTGAGTTAAGAATGACATTTGGAAATTGGAAACAAACAAAAGCAGGCATTAAGTCAATTCTGTGTATACATTTTTGAGGACCCAAGTACAAAGACACCCAACCCCCCCAGCTCTTCCCATAGCAAACTGCCTTTATCTCTTCCTACCACCTCACGCCACCTTTTCCTCTCGTGTCCCCTCTCTGCTGATGTGCTTCCCTGTGGCCTTCTGCTCCCGCACAGGCGCTGTATCACATCTCATACAGCCTTGTTTTCCATCCTGCTGGTCCAACTGCCACGTTGTCTGCCAGGTCCTAGAGTACATTGTCTTCTCCAGCTGCTGCTCTCTGCTCTCTGCCTGTGTGTCGCACTGCGATTTCTCTCCCAGTGCCTCCTGTTCCACGGTCCTGGCCCCCTCTCTCCTTCACATCTCCCCTAAACCCTCTGCACCTCCAGATTTTTCATCGTTGTCCTCTCCCACTCTCACTCTTGACTTGGCACTGTTTTCCTGCCTCATCTCTGTGAAGGAAAGAGATGATACAGTCATTTTCAGTCCACGCTTGCAGTGGACAGTGTTTAAGGAAGACCCACTTATCTGGGGGATAAAAAGAGCTTCGGGCATTTCCTTTTGCCTTGAAGACCAGGGTCCTTTAAACTGTAATTTCCTCTGAGATGTTATAAAACAGGGCAGCTGTGAAGACCCAGTTTGTCCAGTCTGTAATGCTGACAAAACATTTTCCTGCAGGGGGTCATTTCAGGCTGCTCTTTAACCCAGGGACACATTGCAGACCTACTTGTTTCCTCCAGACCACCTCTCCCAGAGTTTTCCTGTGGTTTGTAACCCAGGGCTTGGGTTTCCAGCAGCACGGTCCTTGCAGGCAGTGCCTGGCTGTGTCTTCGGGACAGAAGATCCCAGGGGAGGGTTGTGTTGGCCACTATCACCCCACATAGTGACTGTCACAACAAACAGCCTCCTTTGGCTGCTTCCAAGCACTTTTTATTTGAACTAGCTCAGAAGGCAGTTTCTTTTTGTGAGATCGTATTTGTTACAACGTCCCTTCAGTGCAGTAAATAAAGAAAAAGTAATTGACTCTTTATAGATCTGAGCAGGCAGTGGGATGGTTTAGCCCACCCATCCCAGGGCCAGCACCCACCAGTTTCAGCAGATAACAGCCAATGCCCTATTAAAACCAGCTTTATCCTGGTCAGACTGGAGGAGCTTTCTGCCTGCACAGGGAGATTTCTGCCGGCGGCACGCGATGTTGTTGGGGTGCCCGTTTTAGCTGCACACAGTGTTTTCAGGGGAGAAGCTGGTGGTGCAGCCTCCTGACAGTTTGTGGGAAGGGCTGGCTCTTGGCAGTGACTGAGCAATTTGAAACAGCGTGAACACATTGCTTATCTAATGGCTCCTTTTGTCTGGAGGGGAAACAAACAGCTCTGGACCTGAAATGGTTTTCCGTACATCACATGGAGGGGAAACTTTTTTTTTTCCCCCCCTTCTCAGAAAGATCATTCGTTTTAGCCTCCTGTAAACAACAAAAACCTCTTTTTTCTTCTAATAGCCAAGCTTTCAGGCGCCATCTAGTGTTACCCCCGCCCCCCCCAGCACTGGAAACCTGTTACCTCATCGGTCCCGACCGCAAACAGCGCTCGCTAAGAGATGTGAAAATCAAAGCCACGTCACTTCTGAGATGGCTTAGCCAAGCTTGCCTCGGCCAGCCCCTGCAGAGGCTGGTTTGAGGCCGAGGCTTAAGGATATGGGTCATTTTTATGTCTGTGCAGATTTCAGAGAGGCTGGAGCTGTGATCTGTAGTGGTGGGATAAAAGAAGGAAGTGGTCGAGTGTAAAAGCAAATCCAAGAGTGAGGTTGTTAGTGGTTGGAAGAGCTTCTGCCATCCCGTGTCCTCTGGTTAGTTTTCTTTCAGATTTAAGGGAGAAGTGATGCCCTCCTCATCCCCAGAATGGGACTCCTTGCTTTGCTTTGGTGCTGATTCTTCTCCTTGCATGGATTTGGTAGGGTGAGGGGAGACAAACAGAAACTGAGAAGGGATCCCAGGATGTCAAAAGTAGGGGCACTTTGTTTAACTGGCTTCTCCAGACATGTTTGGCAGCTTCTGTAGGTTTATGCTGACCCCCCTGTTCTTGCAAGGCATGAAATTCCCCATGGCTTTTCCTTACAGTCAGGTTTGCCCAGTGGCATCTCTCCCCGAGCGTTGATGGTGTAGGTTTTATCCCCCTGCAAACCATCATACACTGGGAATGTCAGTGCCATAAACATATAAAAAGAGTGAGATCGTGTTTAAACGAGGTGGATAGGGACAGTCTGGATTCTCCATAAAATAGCAGCCTTGTTGGACATTTGAGATGTGAGAGTTCAGACTGCTTAGAGACACATTTTATCCCCAAATGTCTTGCGTAGGGCAGGTTCTCAGCGTTCTTCCCAAGTTTGCTTTAAGCTGATCTGTTTGGGAGGGATTAATTCCTCTCCCACAAAAGCTGCAGTTTCCCAGTAAGCGCAGTCTGTGCGTTTTGCCCCATCCTTTGTAAAACTACTGCCCCATCCCACTAGAACTGCTCCATGAGATAGTCCTAAAAATCTATGTATGTCCTTCCCATGGCCCCTGTTGACCCCTGGTGTGCGCTGCACGCACATAACAAGGGCAGGATCTGCACTGGGGCGGTGACCTCAGGCTTTGGCTGTGTTTTCCTGGCAATAAAAGCTCCTTTTTTTCTCCTTGCAGCGGCATGAGTTGGAGTTGGGGTTGGGCATCTGCCGGAAGCAGCATCTTAGCAGAATTTGGTACCTTGCATTTGGAATTCCTGCACCTCTCGGAGCTCTCTGGCAACCCAGTGTTTGCAGAAAAGGCAAGTACTTCCCAATTTGGTGTTCAGTAAATTGGTTTCTTTATGCTCCTGGGGTCAGGGCCCTCATCTGCCTCTCCGTCACTGGGGAGATGGGGATGTTGTTCCCAACATCTCAGTTGTGTGAAGTTGTAGCAAAAACTTCCTCAGACAAGGGCACGGCCAAAATTAAACCATCTGGTGGATGCAGACTGCAAAGATAATTGTTAATTCTGATATCCTAATAGCAGTGCCTTGTACTTGCAGACCTTTTTACTTTAAACAGGCATTAAATGTTATGCTCCAGCCAGCAAGATTTCTGCTGAGGTTTGGTGGGTAGGAAAGGCCTGACAGTTGACATATTGGATTCCTTTTGTGCAACTTGTAACTGAAAATCTATTAATATTATACATTACCTTGAGCTTTTTTTTTTTTTTTTTTTTTCCACAAGTGATCTTGTAATGCATGTGAGAGGAACTTAATAAATATGCTGTTGGATACCAGCGAGTCATTAGCTTTCGCTGCACGTCCCCGAGGAACCAGCTTTGAGGGAGACAAATTGTTCCAGTTAAAACCCAAACTGCCCCCATGAGCCCAAAGGAAATGGGGCCTGTCCGGAGTCCCACAGTGGGGTGAAAACAGACAGTGGTTCTGGGATTGCTGAGGGGTAGCTCAAAATGGTGCTTTCCCAAGATGTTTGCAATGTTTGCAGGTCTGTCAGTTTGTGAAACAGGGAAAGGATTTGCAGAAGAGACAGGAAGAAAGAGAAAGAAGAAGGTAGGAGAGCAAAATGGAGAATAGGATGGAGTGTATGGAAAGCAATAAGGGGGGTGAGCAAGAGGGATGTCACAGAGGGGTGAGCGGGAGAGGGAGGCAGAGGGTGAAGGAAAACTAGAAACCCAGGAAACTCTGTAGGGAAGATGAAGACAGGCTGGTGATTTGAAATGAAGGAGACAAGCTAAAGATTGCCTAGAACAACGACAGTGACAGATTGCTCAGAGGAAGGGGGGAGCTGAGGAAAAACCAGCGAAGGGAACAGTGGAACGGAAAGAAAATGTGTGTGAAGGAAATGGAGGGGGGAAGAGAGACGAGCACTGAAAACACAAGGGCAAGAAGATGCACCGTTAAAAACTAGAATTGCATCCATACTCAAGGTTCAAACTGTGGCATTTTGAGGCAGGGTCAAGCCTCTGTCCCCAGCCTGATGTTTCCCTCTTTTCCTCCTAAGCCCTGAGAGGGACAAGGACAGAACCTTTCTCCTGGACTCTCCTGAGCTGAGGGCACAGAAAAAGTCTCGCGTTCATCCTAACACCCTCTGAGAGAAAAAATGTAGGATGATGTGGACTCAAACAGCCCATCCTCTGGGAAATTACTTCAGAGGAACAGATCAACTCATTAACTTGCAGCTTGGGACTTGTGTGATTTTAGCAAGAATAAAGTCCATCTGTGTCTTTTATTCAAACATATCATTAATATGCCATGCTACTAAACTTCAGTAAATATTATCCAGCCTGACGACTTACTTGGAAGCGTCGACTTAAGTCTGTAGCCAGCTTTTGGCTTACAAATTGTCTAATTTTATAAAAGGTTTAGAGTGTATTAGCTGCTCTGTAGGTTATAATAGAATATTTATGCTGCATACCATTTAACTTTGTCCCTTATGGGAAAGGCCTGTTGGATTTAATGGGGGTGAAACCAAGGGAGGTTTTAGAAAATAAGTACGGCTGTTCTAGCATATTAAAGGAGCTGGCTGTTGTTGAAATTAAAGGCCCCAATTCATCATGTTAAGTGACCGCATGGTGAATTTAAGTACTGTGTGAGTCACTCATCCCTGCCACTCCTTTCCCTTTGGATCATGGAAAAAATCACCCTCCACGTCTCATACATTTCCACCCAGATCCTGAATCCTTCTGGACCACTGTTAGTGAACTGCTCCCGCTGCCTGCTGACCTGGGGCCTTGCAGGCGTTTTTAGAATTGTTTCTAAAACCCCCCAGAGCTGGATAAAGCTTGTGCTGGGGAGTCCAGCAGGAAAGTTTCTCCATCACAGCCCTGGCACCGGAGAGCCCTGTCACTGGGCTCTGCTCACACGATGAATCCCAGCGTTACAGGCTGCTGTGCTCATTCAGCACTGATGAATTCTCAGTGATACTGCAAAACTGTCAGCTTTTTCAGCAGAGAAGTAACACAGTTCTTGTCTCTCCTCTCTCCTAGGTGATGAACATCCGCAAAGTCCTGAACAGAGTTGAGAAGCCCCAGGGCCTTTATCCCAACTTTCTCAGCCCGGTGACAGGCAACTGGGTGCAGCGTAGGTATCAGAGAGTCCTGCCTGGAGCATTTCAGTCTTCCCATTCTTCTTTAGGAAGCAATAGCAACTGTCAGAGCAGCGAGCCAAGGAATTGTCATGTCAGGCAGCCTGTTGTACACGTGATTAGATAATGCAGCCCGATTTGTAAGATGCAATATAGTAATTGTACACTTAGTCCATCAGCCTTGTTTCCAGCTGAGCGTCTCACCTCCAGAGAGAATTAGGGCCTCCCTTGCAGAGGGGAGGATAATGGCACATGGTTCATCACACAGATATTAGAAATCAGTACATCTCTTTAAGATCTCATCCTGCAGTCATCACATAGCCCACAGACCTACTTGGGAGTTGCACGTGAAGGATGTGAGCAGAAGCACTATGAGATTTGCTTCCTGAGTGTGCTGCAGCAAGTAGGGAACCACCTGGAGAGGCAGAGGGCTTAGAGTCTCAGATCCCCCAAAGATCTAGGGCTGTGTTCTCCTGTGTGCATTTCTGTACCTGTCCCTGTGGGTGCAAAGAGGCAGAGGGCTTAGAGAGTCTCAGATCCCCCGAAGATCTAGGGCTGTGTTCTCCTGTGTGCATTTCTGTACCTGTCACCCTGGGTGCAGTTTTGTGTGAGGAGGGTGAGACATCTAGGTGCTCTTTTCTCTTGGTGGGAACCCAGCACTGGAGACGTGGGCAATAAATAGACACTGCTCTGATATAAAAGAGGAGCAATAACCAGGAAAGGGCTTGAAAAGAGCAAGGAAATACTTGAAGCAGGGTACCCAGGGAAAGGTTATTTACTTTCCTTACCTGGAGAAGAGACTGTACCCCTCTTTTTGTGCCACCAAAGGGCAGAAGCTTGGTCTCCAGTAGGAACCTGAGAGGCTATTTCTGGCTCTGTGCTCCACATCTCTGACCTCAACTTCCTGCTGTTAGGGACTGGCAAGGGAGGTTTGCTGGATTTTGTGTTTCTCTGTCAAATGAAAGAAAACTCTCTCTTTGTAGAAGCCGTTTTTAACCTGTCAGTGGATTGCATTTATGTTGTTTAAGCAGTTTTCTTTGAGTCACTGCACTACCTGGTTGTCCCCATGTCTCGTTGCACTCTTTGCTCTGCTCCAGAGCTTTCTAACGACTGCATTAATAGCTCTGATTGTAACTGAGGGCAGCTGCCTGGCTGCCATCATCTGAGGCAGTGAGAGAGCCCTGGCTGTGAGCAATCCCTGACCTTCAACTGCCACATGGGCACCTCTAATGGCAATTGACAGGGCTTGGCTTGAAAGGTGTCCCAGCAAAGCATCTTGGATGGTTGCAGTTGTCCCATTAAACCAGAGCTGTCCTTCAGTGCCACGAGGAAAGAAAATAGGCTTCTGTGTTTGTCCCATTAATTGATCTTCAAAGTTATCCAATCTCTTTGTAAGCAGTTCAGCTTCCCCTCCACATTTGTCTCTGCAGAGTTGTTGCAATATGTTCCACTTGAAAAGCTAATCTCCCATCCCCTACTGCCCCCCTGAGATGCCATTTTCTTTAGGTTATTCTCAACTGGCAGCCACACCGCACATTTTCCCAGACACAAGCATTAATTCTGCCTATTCATTGGTGCTGGGAGGAATAGAAGTGCCTGTCCATTGCCATAACTGATCGTTACAGGATCTTTGGGAAACCAAAGAGCTGTGCTCTTAATTCAGATGGTTAAAATACTCAGCTTGAGACTCAGCGTTCATCTCTTCTGCCACTAATTTAATTCTATTTATGTCTGCAAATTTGACTTCATTGTACTGACCTGCTCCCACCCCTTGCTGACAGAGAGAGGGGCCTGTTGCTGGTTCTTGGAGCTCATTAAAAGTAGTTCCTGATTGCTTGTTCTGGGACAGGCTGATGCATTAGGAAAATTTTTTTCACTGAAAGGGTTCTCAGCCATTGGGATGGGCTGCCCAGGGAGGTGGTGGAGGCACCATCCCTGGAGGTGTTCAAAAGAGGGGTTGATGTAGTGCTGGGAGGTCTGGTTTAGTGATGATGCTCCTTGTTTGTTGTGTGGGTGTCTATTTTTGTCAGTTAGGTTGATGGTTGGACAAGATGATCTTTAAGGTCCCTTCCAACCTAGAAGATTCTGTGATTCTGTGATTGCAAAAGGACTAGGGATAACCTCTCTCCGAGACTTTCACATCCAGAGGGCAGCTCGTGGCAGAGGCTGTTTGTGGTGGTTGCTCCTAATACGACCTTGTGGTCTGACTCCATATTCCAGGGAGGGGAAAAGGCTGAGCAGCCTCTTCTGCCTCTCGAATGCTGCTGGTAAGAAACAGATTAGGACCAAAGCAGGGAGGCAGCTGCCGCCCGCCACAGAGATGGTCCCTGTAGGTGCCAGGCTCTCATTTTCTCTCGTCGTTAAAGCTCTTTGCGGGAAGCTGTTTTTTCTTGGAATTGCTGTCATTTTCTTAAAAGGTGTATCTTTGACCTGGCTGAATGAGCAGATCTTCTAAATGAAGAGGCAGCTCTGTACCTCTTCTGAGGGCGGTTGTTACCTTTAGAAAATTAAAAGGACGGTCCCCTGCTGAAATAAGAGATTTGTTTATGCAAAGTGCCTGGGAGGCAAATGCTGGCAAAGCTGATGCCATATGGAAAGCAATTATGTACCAGAGCTCCTGCTTTGGTGATTTTATGAATGACACACTTAGGATCACAGAGCTTCTCTTTAAAGACAGGCTGTGCAGCCGCTGTTTGCAAATAGTCTGCCCTCCTTTTTTTTTTTTTTTTTCATGCGTCTAATCTCATTGTTTTGCTATGGATTATTCCCTGGATCATCAGACACACTGTATCGGGGATATTTGCTCTTCAGGTCAGGAAAATGCATGGCTGTTGATCTCTTCTGTTGGTAGGATTTAGCATTTAGAATAAGCCTCGGGACTTTATGTATGTACAGTGAAAGGGAAAATAAAAATCTGACCAGCTAACTCTGAAAACCCTGCTGCATCTGCTTCCTTTTGAAATGAGGATGCACACGGACACAGAGGTGGATGCTGTTAATTAACAGGGATGGTCCAGTCCATGGTGGGTCATTTGTCTTGCTCTTCTAAAAAGGGGAGTAGGTGGCTGCTTGAAAGAAGGAACGCCGCTTTTCCCCCTGTGGTATAGTTTAAAGATATAAATCCAGCCAGCAGTTCCCCCCAGGCAGAAACCTGCAGCTGTCATGCCCATTTCACAGTGCAATTCTTTAGCATCCTCCTCTCCAGTAAGGTCAGAGCACTGTGTACTCTCAACAGATAGCCTTGAAAATCCGATTTCTGCAGGAGAAAATATTCGGTGCGCATCCTTGTACCTGACTTGATCGTTTTAATACGCCAACAACCCCAGCCTTCCCCAGGCCACAGAGTCCTGCCATGAGGCAGGAATACAAATGGCACGACTGAGAGGTCCCTCCAGCACCTCCGTGTGATCCAACGTGCATCCTCCCTTTCCTGAGGCAGGGAGGCAGCACCCAGTGGCTCCTTAGAGACAGAGATTTATCAATACCTGCCACTGCTTTTGGTTTATGAGGCTGGGATTTATGATGATTGCTTCATAAACAGGAAGCATTCTCAAGTTGCAGTATAAATAACTGTTGCAAAATAAGACCTCTGAATACTTTTGGTAAGGGATACTAATGCTTTGTAAAATGACAGAACATTTTTCTCCTGATTGCACTTTCCACCTTTCTTCCTTTTTGAAAAAGAAATGCTGCAAGCTCTCCCCAGGAACCTGGAAAGAGGGAGGAGAGAACAAGGGCATTAAATAGGACATGGTTGTTTGCTCCTTTGTAAAGCAACTGCTCATTGTACATCATGAACCTGAAGTTCTTTTCTGGCTTTCCCACTACAGACCATGTCTCCATTGGGGGGCTCGGGGACAGCTTTTATGAGTATCTCATCAAGTCTTGGCTGATGTCAGACAAGAAAGACTCTGAAGCTAAAAAGATGTACGACGATGCACTAGAGGTAAGGAGCAGGATGCTGCTCGGTATTTTTTTGTGGGGGACATTGTTCATCAGAATGTTTCAGGCAAAAATGTCTTAGATTTTTGGGTTTCTGTGGGTTTCACTCCTGTCCTCCTAAGTATCTTGAAATACTTAGCAAGGAAGTTTTACTTACTGTCCACTAGGTATCTTGAAATCCTGATTTTTCATCCCTTTAGGCAATAGAAAAGCATTTAGTCAAAAAGTCTGCTGGAGGATTGACCTACATTGCTGAATGGAGGGGTGGCATCTTGGATCACAAAATGGGCCACTTGGCTTGTTTCTCCGGGGGCATGATAGCACTTGGAGCCGAACACGCTGGCGAGGAGAGGAAACAGCATTACATGGACCTGGCTGCAGAAATAACCAACACCTGTCACGAGTCTTACGCACGCTCAGGTAAACCTGTGGGCTGCCTAGAAAATGTCAGCAGGGTATTTTGTGCATCTGCATCTCTGTGTATGATTCTCACTTGTCTTTTCTGGGTTATCTAGAAGAGAAATCAGTATGTTTTACACAGCAGACAGCTGGAGCAGAGGGACGGGCAGATGTGAGCTCCTGAGGCAGAGTTGGGAAATGAATCCAGAGCTGAATCCCTCATCCCACCCCCCCAGTCCCAGAACTAACCGTCTCCCAACAGGGCTGTAGTTTGAGTCAGCCTTTTAAAAGTCAGTACTTTCAAAAGTACATTCTGCCTTCTTAAAGTACATCATTTTCACATCCCTTTGCAGGCAAAAAAGGGAGATTAACAGTGATTAATTGCAGGGCATCCCACTATATGAAGCAGAGCAGCTGAGAAGCCCAACAGGAGAGTGTTGGAAACCTGCAGCTGCTGGTAGGAGCCAGAAAAATGAAGTTACTCAGCCTCTTTTGGCTCCCTAAGTCTTTCTGTTCCACAAGTCCAGTCAAATTTGTTTCACCACCCAGTGTGCTTATCAGTGCTCTGGGAGAGCAGTGACTGGTGATGAATGGGGGACTGGGTTCTCTGCCTGCAGGGCTTTCAGCACGATAAGGGTAAGTTTGTGTTGGATTCTGCCCCTTTCTTTGTAGGCATCACTGTAGCTCACTTCGCAGGCAGCGAAGCAGCAGTCTGGGACCTTGCCAAGACCAGGTCTGGCTGCACAAACTGTTCCCAAGGATCATTTCACACCTTTTTCACACCTTCACCACATCAGCAAGCCCATATTGGCAGCTGGTATTCAGCACATTTGCCCAATAAACTTCAAACTAACCCGAAATGATATTTGCAAATAACTTCCCCCCTGTCTCCCAGCACTTAGAGAACTAAAACAAGCCACCTGCACTGATAACCCTCTGGTTGGGAGTGCCTGGAGCCAATTTTCACCTTCAGCAGCATCCATCAGCATAGGAAGGACAGTAGCAGGCCTGCCCACACTGGTGATGGTGCTGTCATTTCAGTGAGCTCATTGTTTTGCAGAGAATGTCTGTGCACCCTGGCTCCTGGCAAATGGTCCAGCCCACGAGCGCTGGTAGATCCCCACACAGACAGGAGGGAAAGTGTGCAAAATATTTAGAGAAATAAAATTTCACTGAATTTCACTGAATTTCACTGAATTTTAGAGTTGGAAGGGACCATAGAGATCATCTAGTCCAACTCCCCTGCTGAAGCAGGATTGCCTAGAGCTTGTCAGAGCATGTTACTCAGGAGCATCCAGGCGGGTCTTGAAAATCTCCAAGGAAGGGGACTCCACACCCTCCCTGGGCAGCCTGTTCCAGGGCTCTGCCACCCTCACCGTGAAGAAGTTTCTCCTCATATTTGAGTGGAACCTCTTCTGTTCCAACTTGTGCCCGTTGCCCCTCGTCCTCTCACTGGGAACCACTGAAAAGAGTCTGGCTCCCTCCTCCTTCAACCCTCCCTTGAGATACTTGTAGGCATTGATAAGGTCTCCCCTTAAAATGACTCCCTGAAATCCAGCCTTGTGGTAAACACATGGGTGCAACAAGAGAAACCTTGGGGCATGATCATAAACAACTCTCTGCTCAGTTTCCCTGGTTTTTGGATAGGAAGAGGGTTGGTGCTCAGAAGTAGGGATCCAAGTGCTTGCTAATGCTTGCAAGGGATTGAGATTCTCCTGTAAGGGACACTTAAAAAGAACAAGGTACCCTTAATGTTTTATGTATAAAATACCAGTGAATTTGATAAAAGCTTCCCCATCATCCTGATGGCTTCTTTTCAAAGAGGCTGCTGGTGGACCAGGGGGAAAGGCAGCAGAAGTGAAATGGCTGTGTCTGGTGGGGTGAGAGCTGTGATAGAAACCCCTGCCTGGGAGCGGGGTGTCCATAGCTCTGTTGCAGCAGGGTCAGCAGCGTGGCTGCATTTTCCTTTAAATGTGTTTTCTCTTTGAGGCTTTATGACAGGATCTGCCTCCCCTTTCTTTCTCATCTGCATTCTGGGTTTGTCTCCAATGACACACTCTGCTCTCGGGGCCAGGAGCAGTGCAATTCCTAGGAGCAAAAGTGGTAGGACACGGGGGGGATTTGTACCTGCCCTCTCCTCGCTCAAATCTGATCCAAATCTGTGTTTTGTCCGTTGTATCCACCCTCAGAAAGACTTTATCCTCACCTCGATAGTACCCAGACATACCACAGAGTGAGCATCACCTGGGTGCCCCTGGTTTGACATCAGCCCTGAGGTTGAGGTGACACACGGGCACGACCGATCTGCTCATCTGACTTTAGTTAAATCCTGGCAGCCTGAGCAGCATAAAAACTTGAAAGACCTGGACAGTCTTGTTTACTTGCTTCCTCCTCAAATTGACCGTGGCGTGTGTGTGATTTTTTTTTTTTTGGTCTAGATACCAAACTGGGCCCCGAAGCCTTTCGCTTTGATGCTGGAAGTGAAGCCATGGCAACCAGACTCAGCGAGCGCTACTACATCCTACGCCCAGAAGTGGTGGAGAGCTACATGTACATGTGGAGGCTGACACACCATCCCAAGTACAGGCAGTGGGGCTGGGAGGTTGTGCAGGTAAGATTGGGAAGCTCAGAACTCCTACAGCCTGCTGGATTCTTTCCAAAAATATTTCCTTCAGTCGATAAAAAGAGCAGAAATCATTTAAATTGTGTTAGACGCTAAGACGCGTTAGCACTGGGGCAGGGATATGTGGAATAGTTTGATTTACTGTGACATCTCTGGTGATGGTTGTGAATGTTTTTTTCACCCTTTTGGGCTATGCTAAAGTCAATCAGTCAGTCAAAACAGGGGAGGGTTATGGAGAGGAGCACTGAAGACAGGGAAACCTGCTATTAATGGAACAGCCCTCTGCAAAACGGAGTCAACCTTCTCTTTGAAATGTCCTCACACTCCGAACCACTGGCCAGGGAAAATCAGGAAACCTGCCTTTGCCCTTTTTCCTGTCTCCTTCCCACAAAGACCTCCCGGGCAGAAAGTCCCTCAGCTCTTTTTCTAGCTCATGCAATAGCCCTTTCGCTGCTGCCCTGCCACAACTGTCATTTGTCTGCTGCCCTGCAAAAAAGGCCCCACAAACAGCCCGGGTGGCCACTTGTGATCTGCTTTTGCTACGTGTCTAACATCAAGGTCAATCAACCACCTAACTCGGGTGGTTTCTGTTTCTCTTGCTATTTCATTAGAACCAGCTTTATTCCCAGAGTCTGGAGTAATCACCGCGCTCTTCAGTAAGAGACAGAGGCTATTATAAACCTGGAATTAGATTTGTAAAGCTGACTTGTAATGCAGCTGATGATGATGAATGAGTTACTCCGTGCTATGGTGTGTTACTGAGATTTCTTCTCTTTTCTCAGGCCCTGGAAAAATATTGTAGAGTAGAAGCTGGTTTTTCTGGCATCCGAGATGTTTACACCACAACCCCAACCCACGACAACATGCAACAGAGTTTTTTCCTCGCAGAGACTCTGAAGTAAGTCTAGTATCACCGGGGCCTTTCTGAGTAGCATAATTCCTGCAGCATCAACACTCTGTGCTTAATAAGACTCTAATAATAAGGTGGGGGGTGGGATCCTCTGGGGGGAAAACCGGGCAAGGCCATGGGTGCTGCAAAGCTTTGGTGGCTTCCTCCTGCAGAACCACTGCTGTCATTGGCACCCTCGAGGTTTCTGCTCGTGGGCTGGATTTAAAGGACTCTTCCTGTGATTTAGAGCTGCTCTAGGTGGGAGGCTCTGACTGCTGAGCTCCCTTGAGTTTATCTCTGATGGTTTAAGAGATGGCTGTCTCCTCTGCCAGGCCCATGTCCTGCCTACAGAGGTGACTGTGGCCTGAATTTGCTGCAGATCTGCCTTTGCTGGTAGCGTGAGGTGGTGTTTGTGGGGTGGCTGGGCACAGATGCCCATCCCATTTTGCCACCTTTACCCCAGGGGTGGTGGTTTCCAGCAGGAAAATGAGGCAGGGAGTTGAGAAATGTGTCAAACAAGGGAAATGCACAGGGAGTTGGGAAACAACAGAATGAGAGGGAACAGCTTCAAGCTCCAACAGGGCAGGTTTAGATTGAACATTAGGAAGGAATTTTTCACTGAAAGAGTGGTTGGGCATTGGAACAAACTGCCCAGGGAGGGGGTGCAGTCCCCATCCCTGGCTGTGTTTAAGGGCTGTTTAGATGCAGTGCTGAGGGACATGGTGTAGGGGAGGACTTTGTAGAGTAGGGGAGATGGTTGGACTCGATGATCCCAAGGGTCTCTTCCAACCTCAATGATTCTTGCGTTCTATGTGTCACCATAAACCGTGGCAGCTGAGGCCAAAGGCAGCCCCATCACGCTCCTGATGCCGGTGTTTGCTCGTGCGCGCTCGGAGTCCTGCTTGAATTTCCTTTAATCTCCCTTTGTGTCCACCTTCCTCCCGCCCGCCCTCGCCTTGTGGCTCCAGGTACCTCTATCTTCTGTTCTGTGAAGATGACGTGCTCTCTCTGGACGACTGGGTGTTCAACACCGAGGCTCACCCCCTGCCAGTCAACCACACGAACTTTAAAGCCAGTGTGCAGTAGGGAGGCTGCTGCCCAGCGCCCTGCGGCGGCAGCGGCGGCGGGTTCCTGCATTTGGTTTCCATTAAAGGAATTCGAGTTGTTCCTAAAATGGTATTTTGGGGCACTAGTCCAATTCCGGACAGTATTATATTGGGGAGATGAAACCGTGACATAAGCACCTTCTTTTCCTCTGTGAGGAGCTTTATTAGCCTGATAATGAGATGTTTATTCTGGGCCATATTGTACACAGTTCATAGACATTCCTTTATACAGAGAATTTATATGAAATCCACTGACTTTGCTTTATAGTGGCCAAAGGACTGGAAGTTTGCCATAAAATAGACTTCACACACATAAACAACACACATCCTCCTTTCATTTTTTCTGTTTCATTTTTGCCTTTTATATACTCTTGGATTTATCACCTTTCTTAATTAACAGTTTTCAATATGCTGTGCTTTCTAGGTGGTAGGCTTTCTAGGCTCTTTAGGAAGGACGGGCTAGGAGAAGGAGGAAGGGGAGTTGCCCTTCATCTGAGAGAACAGCTGGAGATGGCTGAGGAGCTAAGAGCTTATGGGTTAGGACTAAAGAGGGGACAGGTAAAGGTGACATTACAGAGGGTGTCTGCTACAGGCCACCTGACTAAGAAGAACAAGAGGATCAGGCCATCTACAGACAGGTAGGAACAGCCCCAGGTTTGAATTTGCTGGCCCCGGTCCTCATGGGGGACTTCAGCCACCCTGATACCTGCTGGAGGGACAACACAGCAGGATATAAGCAATCCATGAGGTTCCTTGGGTGGACTGATGATAAATTCCTCCTCAAACTGACAGAGGAGCCAACAAAGAAAGGTGCTCTACTGCCTTGTAGTCACCAAGAAGGGTCTCACTGGGGATGTGAAGATCAAAGGCAGCTTTGGCTGCAGTGACCGTGAGATTGTGGAGTTCAGGGTCCTGAGGGCAGGAAGGAGGCTGTAAAAGCAAGCTCAGAACCCTGGACTTCAAGAGAGCAGACTTTGGGCTCTTCAAAGATCTACTTGGATCTTGGAGAAGTCCTGTGGGATACAACCCTGGAGGGAAGAGGGCCCTGAGAAGGTCAGTTAATACTCAAGAGTCTTGTCATCCAAGCTGAAGAAGTTCCATTCCAATGAGCAGGAGGTCAAGCAAAAATACCAGGAGGCCTGTGTGGCTGAGCAGAGAACTCCTAGCCAAGCTCAAACACAAAAAGGAAGGATAGAGAGGGTGGAAGCAGGAATGGGTGACCTGGGAGGACTACAGAAACATTGTCTGAGTGTCCAGGGCTGACGTTAGGAAAGCTAAAACCCAAATGGAATTGAATTCAGCCAGGAATGTCAAAGACAGAAGAGCTTTTAGAATAACATAGGCAAAAAAAAGGAAGACTAGGAAGATGTGGTCCCACTGCTCAACAGGACAGGAGACTGGTTACACAGGACACGGAAAAGGCCGAAATACCAAACTTTGCCTTTGCCTCAGTCTTTCCTAGCAGGGTCAGCCTTCAGGGATCTCAGGCTCCAGAGACTGGGGGGAAAGGCTGGAGTGAGGAAGACGTTCCCTTGGTGGAAGAGGATCAGGTCAGGGAATCCGGGTTCCAGAGACTGGGGGGAAAGGCTGGAGCGAGGAAGATGTTCCCTTGATGGAAGAGGATCAGGTCAGGGAATACTTCAGCAAACTGGACATAGATAAGTCCATGGGCCCTGGCCAGTAAGTAGCAGAGTAGCCCAGGGGCCAGTACTGGGTCCAGTCCCATTTAACATCTTCATAGTAACTAGCAGAGTAGCCCAGGGGCCAATACTGGGTCCAGTCCCATTTAACATCTTCATTGATGATCTGTCAGAGAGTTTGTTGATGACACAAAACTAGGAGGGGTGGCTGATAGACCAGAGCATCGTGCTGCCACCCAGAGGGACCTCGACAAGCTGGAGAAGTGGGCTGGTAAGAACTTCATGAAATTCAACAAGCAGGTCCTGTGCCTGGAAGGGACAACCCCACGCAGGACACCTGGCTGGAAAACAGCTCAGCAGAAAAGGATCTGTGGACACCAAATTGACCATGAACCAGCAATGGGCTCTTGCTGCAAAGGTTTCCTGGGCTGCATTAGACAAAGTATTTGCCAACGGGGTGAGGGAGGTGGTCCTTCTCCTCTGCTCGGCACTGGTGAGGCCACACCTGGAGCACTGTGTCCAGTTCTGGGCTCCCCAGTACAAGAGAGACATGGACATACTGGAGAGAGTCCAACCAAAGGCCACCAAGATCAATGAGGGAGTGCATCTCTCCTGTGAGGAAAAGCTGAGAGAGCTGGGACTTGTAGCCTAGAGAAGGCTCAGGTATTTATATCCAATAAATATAGAAATGTATATAAATATATTAATGTATATAAATACCTGAAGGGGGGTGCAAAGGGGACAGAGCCAGGCTCTTTCCAGTGGTGCCCAGTGACAGGACCAGAGGCCGTGGGCACCAACTGGAACACAGGAGGGTCCCTCCAAACATGAGGAAACCCTTTTTTAGGGCGTGGGCACCAACTGAAACACAGGAGGGTCCCTCCAAACATGAGGAAACCCTTTTTTAGGGGTAAACCCCCCCCCCGAGGGTGAGCGAGCACTGGCAGAGGTTGCCCAGGAGGGCTGTGGCGTTGCCATCCTTGGAGATATTCAGAAGCCTCCTGGGCAAGTGGCTCTGGGTTGTCCTCCTTGAGTGGTGGGGTTGGACCAGTTGATCTCCAGCCTCAACCATCCTGTGACTCTGTGATTCTGTGGTGTCAAAATTGTAACTAAATCAAAACCTGTCTGCAACATTCTTGATCCTAATGTATTTTTATATACTTTTTCTGTGCTCTTAAAACACATTTACCACACATCACATCTCATTTAACTTCCCTTTATCGTTTTTGTGTTTTTCTACTTTTATTTGGAACTAAATGTTATGAGTCACTTGTAATAATTTCACTGCTGTAATAGTCAAATCTGTGAAACAGAATAAAAGTCTTGTAAAATAAAAAGCATGTTTGGGTTGATCCTCTTTAAAGCATCTGTCAAAGACCTGTTACATCATGCTTGGAATAACTAGGTGACAATACTGGTTGATTTCAAGAATATTTCACAATAGATGTTGATTTCTAGAGCAATCTCGCCAGTGTATGGACAGCAATTCCCATCTGCACCAGCTTTTAAATTGCTTGTTCACATCTGAGATGGGTTAGTGGGAGTTCTACTAAACGGCTGATTTTTCTAGCAAAAAATAAATAATCCCCAGCCAAGTTTGCTCCTCGGTATACATTGCTTCTGGGCTGAAGTAACAGAAGAAAAAGAAAGGAAAAAAATTGAAGGCAGATTCTTCCACACGTCCTGCTGCTGAACCAGCATGTCCTCTGTGTCCATGGGCAGGAAGACTGTGCAGAGATGTCCACACCATCCCTCTTCTCGTTCTGGCAGCTGTGAGTACACACTTAACAGTTCCTGCACCACAGGCTGGATTTGGGACCAGTATCCCTTCTCCCAGCAGCTGTTCCTCTGCTCACGGCAAAGCCACGTGGCCCATGGCTCAGCCTGGAGAAGAGGAGGCTCCAGGGCGTGGCCCATGGCTCAGCCTGGAGAAGAGAAGGGTCCAGCGAGACCTTAGAGCCCCTTCCAGTCCCTAAAGGGGCTCCAGGAGCGATGGGGAAGGACTCTTGATCAGGGAGGGGAGCCATAGGATGAGGAGGAAGGGTTTTAAATTGAACGAGGGGAGATTGAGATGAGATGAGATCTCAGGAAGAACTTGTTTGCTGTGAGGGTGGTGAGAGCCTGGCCCAGGTTGCCCAGAGAAGCTGTGGCGGCCCCATCCCTGGAGGGGTTCAAGGCCAGGTTGGAGGGGGCTTGGAGCAACCTGGGCTGGTGGGAGGTGTCCCTGCCCAGGGCAGGGGGTGGCACTTCAAGGTCCCTTCCAACCCAAACCATCCTGTGGTTATATGATTTTTGTTCATTCTTGTGCCATTCTCTTGATAATCGGTTCGTTCAGCAACTTGGGAAGACAAAGTTGCTCTGAGCAAGTTGCGAAAACAAAAAAAAAACATGCTTGTAAATTCATGCTTTTGTAATTCCCCAAGAGAAATAAGGTTGTCAGATGGGGACTTAGCATCATCCCGGGGATAAAGCTGCTGGCTGGTGAGCTTGGCCTGGAGGAATGGTTATTGGTAAATAAACATCTCGGGAGTGAGTTGTGTTATCCGGGAGATTTGGATACAGGGAAGCTGGTTTAGCTCAGAGGGGTTTTATAGTGGATTAAAGGAATTCCATAAATAAAAATGTCCTGTTCTTGGAGTAACTGAAGACGCTTTGCCTGGGAAAATATAAAACCCTAAAATATATAACACGCCTCTAGTTTCCTTTAGAAATAGATCCTTGGTGTTACATTAAAACTCTGCTCTTGTTTCCTCTGCCACGGCAGTGAGTGAGAACGGCAGTGGTAAAGTCACACACACCTCTGGAGGAGAGCTGCTGCTTTCCTGCAGTTTGGTGCCTGCAGAGTGAATACACAGGTTTTTTTAGTTGCCCAGCAGCCCCGACGATATAAACCTTACTGATATTTTGCTTTCCAAGACAGCGGTGTGGAGTGAGCACCGGTCACAACAAAAGGGTTTTGTTGCAAACAGCCACGCTTGAAAATCACCCCTCTCCTAGACCACAAACGTGCAAATACTTCTGCCCGAGCTCCCAGACATCCCCAGTGAAATCCCTGAGCCTGGCGGATTCTTTCCAGGCAGGGAGTTGAGCGTGTGTGCCTTCAGCAGGAGCAGAGACCTGTTCCAAGGATCAGTTTTGTTCCAAGGCCTGGCCCGGCGCCACGACGGGCATTTCTCTGTCCTACGGCGATGCAGGTAACGGAAATGTTTGGCCCTGATGGTATCTTGAAACTGTTCTGCTCCTCCTTTGCTCCTCTGCACACCTGGAGCCTTGGCTGGAAGCTCCTGCTGGAGCAGAGCCCTCTGCTCGGGGAGCCCTGGGATTTCACCCCTCTTTCCTTGCACCCACCCTGCGAGGTGGGGGTGGCAGGACAACTCCTGTTCACCCAGCTGGGAACTGTGAGCAGATAAATAAATTATCTTTGTGCCAGAGGGTTGGTTTTAAATGTCCTGGGGAAGTGATCTGGGAAGATGTGTGTCTTTTGAGCTGCCTTCCTGCCTTTTCAGGCATGTGCGCCACCAGTGGGAATTCTGTTGTTGATTTACGATGGTTTTTTTCGATGGTTTTGAGTCACGTTACCAGGAAACGTGAGCAGCCGAGGTAATTTCCCATTTCCCATGTTAGATTCAAATTCAGGAGCCGCCATCACCACGGTCATTTTCACCATCAGGACAGGCCCTACTTCATGTCAGATGGAATTTCCTGGAAATGAAGTTACGATAAAAGAAAGTTGCATCAGTGGTAGAGAAGAAAACTATCAACTGTCGCTTGTAGAACAGCCGGCTGTTGCCGCCTGACCATACCAGGAGATAAGACAAAACTACCCAGAAAACAAATGCATCTTTCTGTAACCCACACTTCATTTTTTACAGCGTTATTAAATTCCCTCGGAAGGCTTTCAGCGGAATTGGTTATTGAATTCAAAAGCCTGGCAGTCGTAGTATTTTTCCACATACATTTTGATCTGATCTATTTATCCGATTGTTTCAGATGTGATGCATCGAGCGCTGGCTCCCAGCGCGAGCGGTTTCAAAGTTCCAGCCATTACTTCTGATCACGTTTGGCTCTTTGGCTTCATTCCCTGTGGAGCCTCAAGCAGGTACCGGGCTATAATTAAGAATTCTCTCACTAAAACACCCCCTACATCGTAAATTTGGTTGTTTAGTGAGAGCCAGCGAGTGTCAGAACCATAAGTGACCCTACTGAACGGGAGAGGCCAAGGGGGAGTTAGGAATGTGAGCTCTTGGGAATTGGGCAGACATTTGGGTCTCACTCTTCCACTCAATGGCCAAATTTGAAACGTCGTTTCACTCCCCAGCCTTTGCTGGGTGTCTTCTTCTGGGATGAACTCTGTTTTCCATGGCTGCAAAGCTTTGTCACAGCACACCCCTGCAGCAGGATGCAAACCTCCAGTTTTCTTGTCCCCTGAAAAAGCCCCATGTGAAACCAGACGTGGATACTCCTTGTTCCTTACTGGTTTTCAGAGGATTTATATTTTTGGGCCTCGGTCTGGTCAGGACTTGCTTCCTCAGGGGTTTTGTGTTTCCAGGTGCTTTCTCCATTTGTGCACAGAGCTCCGATTTGAATGCCGCCTTCCATTACATCACGATGGCTTTGACTTTAAAAGGGGCCAGGGTTTCAGGCTGTGGGAAGGGGGCCATCAATTTAAACCAGGACAGGGTTTCTCTGCTCTCACAACGTGCCACCCTGGA